ATTTTAAAAATAATTTTTAATTCAAGATAAAGCAGTGGCGTAGTATTTTTTTCGCCAAAAATATACATTTTAAAACTCGTACGTACGCCACTGGCAGAGAAAATTAAGAAAATTGTACATCAGAAAATGCGCCTTGAGGCATGGAACATATGTACCAAATATGCCAAAGATGTCTACAAAATTATCTCAGTTATTATTAAAAAACTGATTATTTTTGAAAATTTTGCCACCCTGTATCTCAAAAGTTAAGGCGTTTAGGACATACGTCCATAGGACGTTTTTTCCTTAAAATGGGTCTAAGAACTACCTCCTTGAATATTAGCATGTGTTTAAGGAACACCCTATAGATTCACAAATTATATTATGTATATTATATTTGTAAATGCCATTGTTACTCCCTATTCTGTAATTGGGATGTAGAATAGTGTATGAAATAAATAAATAAATGATCATTAGAATTTTACGATGTGTGTATTTTCATTAGCATGTATCAACAGACCTCTCCCAAAGTTTTTCTCACAAAAATCAAAACCGCATTATCGGCTCAATAGTAAAATGTCCTTTGAATACATTTATTTTGATAATACCATTCATGAAAAAATATCGAATATTATCGGCCCCATACGAATTTTAACTTTTGAGCCGAAACTTAACTTTTTTTCAACTAGCTAGTTGAGAAAATACCGAAATAAAAAGAAAATGAAAGCACTTCAACTCAACTCGTTCGACGAAAACTCAAATTTTAGATAGATGGAATGGAAGTCCAATTTCTGCCTTGATTTATCATGTGCAGATGTTGAATTCTATCCTTTGTTAGTTTAGGTTAGTATCTTTCATGCTGAATAATCTTCAAGAAAATCTTACTATTGTTTGCGGTTTAATCCAAACAGGGCCATATCAGAGTCGTTCATTAACACTATCTTTCACTATCCATTGTCTTGGACGGTCCGCCATATTGTATGTAGAGACGTACGTACTTGCATAATAATAATAATAATACATACATACACGTATTACAAATTTGATAAAAGCTGGTGAAAAATAATGTTTTTCAACAAAAACATTTCCATATCGCTCTGTATCATATTTAATAACAGCGATAATGTTGCAACAACTTCATATCCGCTGTAATAACTGTCATCCTAATAACTTGCCAAGGCAAATGAAAAAATAAATGGGAATATTACGGTTTTCCGTAATTATTTATCCTCCATTGAGAATATTTCGCGAGGTCAGTTTTTATCTATACAATTAATTTACGCACGTAAAATATGCATATACGGTATCTGCGATTGGGGTGAGGTGAATTAATATACCGAGCTGAGTTTTTTATACTTTTGAACAATCAAAGGTAGAAAGAGAAAGTTTAGATTCAGATAGTACCGGTTATACCACGCTGAGAAACTACTGAAAGCATGTAAAAAGTACAAGACTTTCTTACTGATTATCCTCTCAACTACTGTTTACTTCAATATAGACATTGTTTTTTTCAATTGCTTCAATAGTTTTGAAAATAACAGAAAAAAATTAAAGATAATTTTTCGAAGCTGCCGGAAATTACTGAAAAACACTAAATTGTCAATTGAATTTTACGTCTTCTGATTTATATAAATTAAACTCAATTAATTTAACGAAAATCTACTACTGATCTCAAAATATCCATGAGAACAATGGAAAAGTAAAATAAAAAACAAACTCAACACAATGTTTTCAATGAAAATGAGCTGAGAGTGTGTTTTTTCTTTAATAGCTTAATAAAAAAAACACACTTTCAGCAATCTGTAGATATGGGAAAGTCATTATTATTTCTATAATTAGTAGTGAATTCTTTGGGAAACTGAAAGCCAATGTAGTGTAGATAACTTGCTGATTATGAAAGTACACATAGTATACTTAGTAGTATACTATATGTAGTATACTTCTATGTATACATAGTAGTTTTTGTAACTGATTCATTTGAATTAAAAGAAAAGACAGTATAGAAGCACAGTTTCAAAGTATGGTTGTACAATTATGAACAATTAAAGTCTATCCAAATCCAAGATAGAGTAAAACAAAACAAAACCGAAGCGTGATGTTCATGTGATCGCCCAGTGTCAGATGGAAAGGGCAGCGTTCATTGGTGAATTCGCCTTCTTGGTACGAGTTCGGTACCAGCACAGGGTT